TATTTTGTAGAATTCATGTTTTCATCGTTTGTGGATCAATAGTTTTCCTGTATTTCTGGTGTTTACTCATTAATGAAACAGTTGTTTCAGTCATCATTGTTTAATCATTATATAACCTGGGAATGTTTTTAATGATCTTCTACGTGGTTCTTATCTGTTGTTTTTCTTGTATGACTTGGATTTTTTTTTCTGACAAACATCATTTTGATTTACACCAGTTGGTTTGATTTGATAGTCTGTCAACATTTTAAGTTCTAACAACAAAGCTCCATCTTATATTAAAGATCTTTTTGTCCGCTTTAGCAGTCCACCTTGTTTTTGTTAAAATGTTAAAAGCTGACGGAAAATTTGGTTGACAAAACTTAAACATCAACTATAGCTGGAATCACCGACTTTTGAGACGAGAGAGCGACTTCAGGGGTACACAGGAATGTGAAGGGCTACTTGGTTGACACAAATTTACACATCTTACCTTTAATTCTAGTATAACTAACAAAAAATACACAAATGTGAACATTTGACTGCCTGATTATATCTTAATGTTAGACTCCATACAATGATTATCAATATTATTATTGATTTATTATCATTGATTATTGACTGTTTTATGTTAGTGCTTTGCCTTTCATGTTATTTTTACTGATTCAATGAAATTGATTCTTGCTATATTTGCGGAATAAATTACCATAAAAGACAAAGCTGGTTCCTCATCTTTGACTATTTCAGCAGAAGATAAAAATTTTGTTACATCATACGGATCTCTAGCCTGACCCTTGCCTTCAGTTCCGCTCAATTCTAGTTTTGCTTCTCTGCTCCGTCTGGGATTTCTCCCATAGACAAGGATTTCTTCTGGCACATTTCATCCAGGCCAATCAGAGAGCAGAACGTTGATTTTCTGCGCAGTGTCTGCTTGTAGTTTATTTTACCTGGGCCAATCAGCAAACGGAAGGCGGAGTTTTGAATGATGTCTATGTTCCGCGCAGTGTCTGCTAGTTATTTTAGCATACGGCAGTGGAGGAAGAGAATGAAGCCAGTCCGTGTTGATAAGGCTTCCAAATTAAATTAAATCTGTCTGACAAAGCAGCAGCTCTCATTTACAGTCGTCTTGTTCAGCTCGGTACTTCTCTCCTCTCAGTAGGGTTGTTTACAGCAGTGTTTCCCAAGGTGGGGTCCTGAAAAGATTTTCGGAATTAATTACATTTTTGCCTTAGTTGTTACAAAGGAGTGAGGTTAGTATATTTAAAATGGATACATGTAGTATAATAAATATTTACTATGCCCATGTTTAGTTGACCTGATACAAATGTTTATCATCCAAAAATAGCTGGGGTCACAGGTCTCTGCTGCTGTTATTTTATGGGTCAAAAGCTGAAAAGTTTGGGAACCACTGCACTTTGGTTCCCAAAGTTGGGCTTGGGACCCAATTATGGGTCATGAAGCACCTTGGATAATCTCCAGAAATCAATTTAATGTGTAATAAAATAATTGCTGATGTAATATTTTCCCTATAACTTACCAAAACACTAAACGAGTATAAATAAGTATTTACACTCACCGGCCACTTTATTAGGTACACCATGCTAGTAACGGGTTGGACCCC